GTCAGATCTTTCATTTCGCTTTGATAATATTACTATTGAGATCTCTATTAGAAGTTTTCTCAAGCAACTATTTGCTGCAAAAGCTTTCGGCAACTTTCTGAATTTGAATAGGAACGATGAACTCAGAGTACTCACCACCAACAAATCTATCAATTGGTTCTCCATCTGGAAACTTTTTTTGATGAACACCTCTTCCCTCTTCACATCCTTTGCTTCGTGTAGGCTCAAATCATTCATTATAAAAAACTTCATTGATGAACTTCCTACACTGTCACGTCTTGTAGTATTACGACCTGACTTATATGAGCACTGGCCTTGTGTGGGCTGCAACGATGCTACTGAAACTGCTTTTCATATTTAGACTTGCCCCGCATATTCTTCAGATATTATAAACACGATCCTGACTACCAAACAAGATTTTGTCAACCAGCTAAGAACTGTATACAGAACCAGATATACAGCACACTAAACTGAACTAGAAGACGTTCTTAACACAACCTTTGCACTACCTTCCAATGCTTCCACTAGCCACATGGACATCATTCATTCTAGAATCTCGTCTTCCCTGATAGATATTGTCTATAAAATAACTGGCAATAAAGATCGATGCCTCTCCATCATTTCATACTCGCTGCTCCTTTTTCACCAAAAACTATACAATGATGTCTGGAAATACCGTTGCAACTTATTGATCGCTAAAGAGCATTCAATAGGCATTACTAAATAAGACAAGCATAAACGAAGTGCCGGTTCACTCCTGCTTCACAGATAGTTATCAAGCCCCTCTTTTAACTGGAAGACTTAGATACACCATGCAAATAAATTTGGTTACGCATTCTCAGATTTTTAGATAGGCACTGACTTTTTCTTTATCTTTCCTTGCTGATGTTAATTTTCATTAAGTATGCACTTAGTGGAGTTGATGGAGGAGAAAGACGATGATAGGTCGATTCAAGTGGGTTTGTAATATAACTATGAGGGATAGCTAGTACTTAGCATAGATTTATTTTCGATTTACTTTGTATTTCTTAATATATAAATTTAATAAAGTTACTGACAGTGCCACATCGTAAAAAAAAAAGAAAAAAAAAAATATATAAATTAAGCATATATTATATATGTTTTATAAGTATATTTTATATATAATTTATATATATAAATTTTTTATAATTTCATATAATTAATTTATCATAATATTATGTAATTAAAATTACTTTAATTTAAATTTATTTATTTATTTATTAAATAAAATATAGTAATGACAATAAAATACAAATATTTTATAATAATAAAAATACTATTTAAAAATAATTAATAATACATAAATGAAATAATAAAATAATGATATTATTAATAATATTTTAAAAATTATAAAAAATATTAGTAATATTAAAAATATATAAAATATTGAAAAAAGAAAGTTAATAATATTAGTAATATATAAAATATTTTAAAAAGATAGTAATATTAGTAATATATAAAAAATAAATATAGTTAGTAAACTATTAACAGTAAATAATATTAGTATCCTTAGTAATCCTTAACCTTGGATTCTAAGTCTTATACTCGAACTATTGAGTTATCACTATTATCTCTGCCTTTTACAAGGATAAGTTTATATCCTATTTATACAAAAATATAATTATAAGAATTTACTATCTAACACTAAACTATAATATAACACTAAGATAAATATAAAAGATAAATTATAATTTAATGATAATAATAATATAATAAAGAATAATAATAAAATATAAGAATAAAATAATAAAATATAAATGTTAACTCAGTTAAAAATGCTAACAATGTTAATAACATTGATCATTCGTCAATCTTTGTAATGCAGTAGGATTAACTTTATATGGTATCAGCAGCTATACTCTAGCAGTGCAAAGATGATGATTATTTAATTTATCATTTGTCACAAACTTCTTAAGCTAATTTCATTGAGATTTCTTAATTAAAGGTAGTCTTTCAGAGTGAAAATTTGAGCTGGTTAATCCTGTATCATCAAATCATTTCAAAGTGTCAAAAATAGTTGATACTCTATAATAGTGTTTAAAATTCAATTTTTTTAGTTGTAGACCTGCAACTAAAAAAGTGGCTTAGATGTGAACTATTAATTTTAGTTACATGTTACACATCTAAATTTAATTATAAAATTGCGTTGATTATAAATTACTTGCAGCATAATAAAAAACTAAAAATAAAAAAATTGCTTTTATATTTATTATTCATAAATTTTATTAAATTCATCAGAAAGTTACAGAGCAAATGTACATTACATGAACATCGACTACCAAATGTATATCATAACTTAACAATAATTATTAGATCCTTTAATATAATACTGATATACAGAATGTTGATGTTTATTACTAAAATAAGTTGTGTATTACTTATACAATACAATATACATCAAATAACAATCAATATACATCATTTTAATTATTTATTTATTAAATCACAAATTTTACTATAAATTTATTATAATTGCATTGAATCATACTATACTACTATATGTATTATAATTAATAAACTAGTATAATATCGTAAAAAAATTAATACTAAGTCATGATTGTAAAAAACTATTAATTTTTGAATAAAATTTATTAGTATATTATTAAATTTATAAAATGCAGTAAAATAAATATATATTCATCTAATTATCATCATCATTATCTTTAATATTATCATTATTATATATAGAGCTCTAAACAGGTCAGTTCAGGTCAGGTCAATCAAGTTACCTTAACTGAGAAGACTAGATCAAGTCAAACAAAAATCTGACCTGATTTAAATTTTCATTTAACCTGACCTGACCCAATCTAACCTAATCTAACCTAATTTGATCAAATTATTTAATTATTTAATCAACATTATATTATATTTGATTCAATTTAAAACTCTAATTTATTTTGTTATTTTTCTTTTGCTTTTTCTGAAAAAAAATTGTATGCGAAATAATATGAAATTTTTAATTTGATGATTAATTATAGTTGCATAATTAATTACAATTACACGATTAATAATAATTATACTGAAAATCAATTTTCCAATCTTTTCTTTTTCTTTTTTTTAACAAAGAAACACTTTTATTATTTTTTTTAATATAATGTTTAAATACTTAAACTTGTAAGAACTCTTACTAAATGTAATTATTCTTATTTTTATTAATTTTTATTTTTATATATATTTAGTATCTTTTTTTATTAATATTAATACAGAGATTTCATGATGAATTTTAAGCATTTTAGTTAAAGTCAATTATCTTTTATTTCTAAGTGAAAATTGTTTAGAAAGTTCGATACTATTTACATCTAATGTTTTAACTTAATGGGATTAATATTCGTGTAGAAATAATTTTTTTTTGTAACTTTACTAAATAAGTCACACTTTTTTGAATTCACAAGGAAATTTGAGCACTTTGGTCAAAGTCAATCGCTTTTCATTTCTAAGTGAAAGTTGCTTAGCAGGTTTGATAATATTTGTATATAAAATTTAATCTCGATTGGATTAATATTCGTATTATAATATGTGTTTTTGTAACTTTATTAATATCATGAACCTTTTTTTTTTAACTTCACAGGATAATTTGAGCACTTTAGTCAAAGTCAATCGCCTTTCATCTCTAAGTGAAGGTTATTCAGCAGTTTCAATACTATTTACATCTAATTTTCTATATTAATGGGATTAATATTCGTATAAAAATAATTTTTTTTTGTAACTTTACTAAATAAGTCACACTTTTTTAACTTCATAGGATAATTTGAGCACTTTGATCAAAGTCAATCACCTTTTATCTCTAAGTGAAAGATATTCAACAGGTTCGATACTATTTATATCTAATGTTTTATATTGACTGGATTAATATTTATATAGAAATAATTTTTTTTGAAACTTTACTAAATAAGTTACACTTATTTAACTCATAAGGAAATTTGAACACTTTGGTCAAAATCAATCGCTTTTCATTTCTAAGTAAAAGTTGTTTAGCAGATGCAAAACTATTTGCATATAAAATTTAATCTCGATTGGATTAATATTCGTGTTTTAATGTGTTTTTGTAACTTTATTAATATCGCAGACCTTTTTTTTTAACTTCATAAGGTAATTTGATCACTTTGGTTAAAGTAAATCACTTACTGCACATTAAGTAAAACTTTCTATATAACTGAATCTACATACACATAAATTTTTGTATCATGTGATTTAATATTCGTTAAGTAATAGCTTTTCATAACTGTATTAATTCTTAAATTTTTTTGTTTTTTTTTGAATATTATATTTGTGTAATTTATTAAATACTGTATCAATGTTGGGCAAGGTTGTAAGGATATTTATTTCAGTAACAGAGCAATTAAGTTTAATTAAAGAGTTGGGTAAATTTGGTAGTATAGTTATTGGAATACCAGAGCAACCAAGTTCCGTTAAGAAGTTGGGTAAGGTTGGTAGGATAGTTATTTGAATATAAGAGCAATTGAGTATTTTTAAGGAGTTGGGTAAACATGGTAAACTATTTATTTTAGTGCTAAAACAATCAAGTTCAATTAAGGAGTTTGGTAAAGTTGGTAGGAAAGTTATTTCTGTATGACTACAATCAAGTTTTGTTAAGGAATTGGATAAAGTTGGTAAGCTATTTAATTTAGCATAGGAACAGTTGAGATAAGTTAAGGAGTTGGGTAATGTTGGTAGGATAGTTATTGGAGTATAAGAGCAATCAAGTTCCATTAAGGAGTTGGGTAAAATTGGTAGGATAGTTGTCTTAGTATAATCACAGCTGAGTACTTTTAATTTCCGATATCTTTGCAATCCTCCTAAGGCGTTTAATATGTCATCCTTATTAAATTCTGTAATCGTTAAACTTTCAATAACATCATCATAAGTAATATCAGATACTTCGACATTTGATTCTAATTCTTCTACATTATTCTGACCGGCCAAATGATGAATAATTTCGGAATGATTTTTATTTGATTCATAACAATTTATTTGATCATTTAACTGATAACTGTTTTGATAATTCCAGATAATTTTCCACCTGATGAAGTATTAATATTAGAAGAATAATGAAGAAATAATTCACTTTCTTGCATTTTTGTTTTTGTAATAATTAAATTTAATTTATCAACAACTTGATTTATAACTGGACGATTATCTGGCTCATTGTCCCAGCATTCTAAGATTGTATGTAAATTTTATGATCAAAAATTATTTAAAAAAATATATACGATATAAATTTAATTAAATTTATGATAATATATTTACCGATATAAATATTTACATAATTTTTAGGTGTGCTGGGAATGATCTTTTCTCTAAGTCCTCCTAAAATGTCGATAGCTAAACTTACGTCATATTCTTCATCATTAAAAGGAGGATATCCGTTTGATATCTTCCATAAAAGTATACCAACACTGTATATGTCGCTCTTTTCATTCAGTTTAAATTGTGGTGATGTAATGTCATTTCTTCGTCTGTTAAAAAATTTTGGGTCAACATAAGGAATTACTACAAAAGAATTTGATGGATTGGTTGCTGCTTCAATTCTTTTCGATAATCCAAAGTCGGCTAGTTTAATAACTCCTTGATGAATTAGTATATTGCTGGAATGCTATTATATGCATATATAAAAAAAAAGTTAGTTACTGAACAGCATATTGAGAAGAAATATATTATTTATGAAAGATTACCAAATCACGATGCACAATTCCTTCATCATGTAAATATGATACAGCGCGAGCTATCTGGAATGTCAAGTTGTATTTATCTTCCCAAATAAGCTTATCAAAATTACCCTTCAAATAATTTTTAAGCGTATCGCCATCAACATATTCTAAAGAATAAATAATTTCTTTGCTTTTTTCTCCTCGTTCTCTAATTTTTTCTTCTAAATTACTAATTATTTCTTGCTTGGTTCTGACGTCTTCATCTCGTTCTTTAATAATTTCTTTTAGTTTATTAATAGTTTCTTGCTTGGCTTTAGCTTCCTTTTCTTGCGCTTTAATATTTTCTTCAAAATCTTTAGATTGAGCGCTTACGTTTGATAAT